GAGAAGGGGCGGTAACCTACAATTATCCAGGATGAATAACAAGACCTATAGTTGCATCATACTACATGTAAGAGAAGCAGGTCAATGTGTAGCACCTGTGCAATTCCATCTTGCATGCATTCTTAGCCTTTATTACGATGTACATGTCATGGCTGCAACTCAGTGCATGGGCTGCAACTCAGTGCATGTGCTGCAACATGCAGAGTAGCAGAGTAGAGATGACGTTTTACCATGAATGACTTAAAAAGGTTTTCATAACTTGATTCCGAAATACACAAAAAGTACGAGAGTGATATAAAAAATGAATAAGCTATATACATGAATGAACACAAAACAAACGGAACTATCTCAACTAAATTACACAGATTCCCAAGTTCGCGGCATGTAACTAAAAGAGTTCTTCATGAAGAGTATTTTAATTACACGGATTATTTTAATAACAGAATACAACAGTACCTTTGGGTGTTAGTATTTTCCTTTGCTCTAAATTGATCGGGCTTCTTGTGCTCAGGCATCCTGTGCTCAGGCTTCCTGTGCTCGGGCTTCCAGTGCTCGGGCTTCCAGTGCTCGGGCTTCCTGTGCTTGAGCTTCCTGTGCTTGGGCCTTCTGTGTTTGGGCCTCCTGTGATTGGTGGATGTGGACTTTGTGGCTGTTCACAGGGGACAACAACATCTTGCTTCTTGTCGAAAAATTCCTGTGCTTCCTTTAAACTTGGGATAACAACAAAAAAAGCAATTTTTTTCTTGGGAAGGGCAAGCAAGTTGATGTTCATAGGTGCATTTGAAGGGGAGAAAAGGGCAGGGCTGAGGCTTTCTAGCCTGCCCATCTCTAGCAGCTCCTTGCTGCACTACCTAATAGCTAACTTCCAAGCTACAGCTTCCTCTTTCTCTTATTTGTTGAAAAAGCCCCTAAGAGTGACCATTCTGGTAGAATTATTTTAGAACAACTCCAAAGATGGTTGTGTGCAGTTAAGTTAAAGAGGAGCAATATCAATACTCTCCCTCCCACATTTAAAGCAAAATGAAATATTTAGCTAATGTTTATTCTCTGTATACCTCAGCTCACTCCACAATAGCTGTTCAGCAAAACGGTTCTGAAACTGAAATATGGAGAAAAATTTACAATCAATTTTGCTCTTCAGTTTGGAAGTTGAAAGAGTAAGTTTCCCAGCTAAATGCTTTTCTGATTAATATCTTACCAGCTATGGAGAAGCTATACGTTCATTCCCCAGTCAAAGCAAGTGACTGTAAGTGCTTTTTTAATTGGTAATTGAATGCAAAGGAAAATGCAAGCAGATAGAGGCATTAAACCTTGAGTCACAAAATTTGGATCATCAGTTAAACACACTGAGATATAGAATTAGAGTATACAATTAGAAATAATTATTTCTTAATTATTGTGGAACACAACAAAGATAGAAAACCCACCAA